ATATGCAGGCAAATGAGCTTCAACGTGATCGGAGCACTCGACAGAAAGAAAAAAAACGGTGGTTTATGTATGAGTAGTTTTCATGCTAAAGCATCGGCCTCCACATTAATAACTAGTTGTTTAACAGACCTGTAGGCAAAGGGACTTAAATTACTCTTATTACAGGGAAAATCCTCTTTTTGATAAAACCCAATAGTTTTTTCCCCACTGGCTTTTGAATTATTGAAAATAAGCTCTGTGACCAACTAACGTTTATGATTCTTCAATCAAATTAAATTGATAAATGGAACACACACTTCCCATTTTAATGAGAAAGATTAGGTTTATTTAGTACAAAAGTATTTTAGCATCTGATGGGGAAACACTCAAAAAACATTGATGTGATACTACAATTGTACCTGCAAGATACTGTCACATATATCCATGCACTGATCTGATGGATATATATTTATATAATTGGCGTTTGTTGTATCAAAGCAGGACTGTAAACCTGCTCCTCGTGACCTTGAATAACTATAAAGACGAAATAGAATGAATCGCAATGCTGTTGTACACAGTGGTGTAATGTAACGAAGTAATAATACTTCGTAACAGTACTTACGAGGGCCAATGCGCTGCAGAGTTTAGCTCCAACCCTGATCAATCTCACCTACCTGTGATTTTATAATGATCTTGAAGACATTGATTAGCTTGCTCAGGTGTGTTTGATTAGGGTTAGAGCTAAACTGTGCAGGAAAGTGGATCCTGTGGGCCAGATTTGAGGATCCCTGGAATAGAGTATTTCAACACAGAAAGAAAACAACTCTTCAGCTTTAAGTGTTCCAGGTGGCCAAACACCTGCTCAGAGCCGCAGTTTAATAAAATTCACTTTCCTTTTTACTCCTCTGTGTCTGGTGGCTGTTATGTTGGACATGAGGAAGCAGACAATAAAATTGATGGCCTAAAGATTTATTGCCTCATAACACTTCCTGGAGAAGCGCAATGCTCCGTCAGTCTGACCGGCAAACACTCCCTCAGGTCAGACAACAGATGAGACCTACAACACACGCTGGCAACCCAATGTGAAACTTGATTTCCCTTCTTTTTAGCACATCTGTTCTCTGAAATTTAGAAAACAGGACACGATTTAAATACCAATACGAGTTCATGAAAGGAGCATTTGATGCTTTGAGTTCAGCTCTCAGGAGAAGAAGCTACTAGAAAACTATTGCAAAGGGAAGGTCACTGAGAAATGTGGGATATACAACGCCTACAGAGAAAGCAGGGCTTTTAACAAAAATCAACAGCTGCTTTTCTATAAAACATCCAGTCTGAATACCATATGCATTACTTTCTCAGTCTTACTTTGAAAGCAGTGAAAAACAGCATCTGTAAATGTAAGAATCTGAATCAATTAAGTTGTTCATTGCACTCATTTTACTCTACTGCTCATCCATGTTTATATGTTTAAAAAGTTAAGTTTCAAAGCATCTTTTTTTAACTATACATGTGCTAAACTCCATCAAACCTAAACGTCTCATCTCAATGACTTGTAATTATATCAATGCAAAAGCTCTAGAATAAGCAATGAATTATAACAAAGCAAAAAAAAAACAACAACTCTGAACTGTTTAAACTGATTTTACCATGGTAAGAAGTGTTATCCATGATACAAAGCAAGTTGATTACTGCTTTAATAAAATGCAACAGGAACAAATGAAAGATACAGATTTTCTAAAAATAACTGAAATAATAATGGTTAATATGCAACATGGCATCTTCATATGGAGCTCAACTGATGTGCAATATGGTGTGCATTTTTATCAGCTCATCTAATGAGATTTTTGAGTCATAACTGTTTCATAAAAAAAAGAATAAATAATGAGGCATAGAGGATGTGCAGCACAATGAGTTTTACAACTAAAAACCCTTATGAGGTTAAAAAATAATTTATGTATACTTTATAATTTATGTATTAATGGGTAGAAATTAAAAGGCACAGATGTTTAATAAATAATTCACATTTATGACATATATACATTATCAATTTGACACCATCATCATATCCAAAATTTTGAGATAAAACAACAAAAAAAACATTTTTGTTACTTGAAATAAATAAACTTTAACTGAAATAAAAGAAAACTTTTTTTTTTTTTTTACTTTTTAACATTTAGCTTGAAGTTAGCTTAAGTTGGAGTACTAAAGTAACTAAAACTAAATAAAAATAATGAATAAAAAATTAATAAATACTATATATCGAGAAGAGCAAGAAATGATATGCAGGCAAATGAGCTTCAACGTGATCGGAGCACTCGACAGAAAGAAAAAAAACGGTGGTTTATGTATGAGTAGTTTTCATGCTAAAGCATCGGCCTCCACATTAATAACTAGTTGTTTAACAGACCTGTAGGCAAAGGGACTTAAATTACTCTTATTACAGGGAAAATCCTCTTTTTGATAAAACCCAATAGTTTTTTCCCACTGGCTTTTGAATTATTGAGGAAAATAAGCTCTGTGACCAACTAACGTTTATGATTCTTCAATCAAATTAAATTGATAAATGGAACACACACTTCCCATTTTAATGAGAAAGATTAGGTTTATTTAGTACAAAAGTATTTTAGCATCTGATGGGGAAACACTCAAAAAACATTGATGTGATACTACAATTGTACCTGCAAGATACTGTCACATATATCCATGCACTGATCTGATGGATATATATTTATATAATTGGCGTTTGTTGTATCAAAGCAGGACTGTAAACCTGCTCCTCGTGACCTTGAATAACTATAAAGACGAAATAGAATGAATCGCAATGCTGTTGTACACAGTGGTGTAATGTAACGAAGTAATAATACTTCGTAACAGTACTTAAGTATTTTTTTGGGAGTATCTGTACCTTACTTGAGTTTTTATATTTCAGCCAACTTTTACTTTTACTCCACTACATTTCCTTATTAAAATGTATACTTTTACTCCGATACATTTCCCCGAAGCATATTCGTTACTTACTACAAAATAGTCAGAAGTCAGAAGAACACGGACTGCAGGAAAGCAGGTTTGACGAATCAGTGGTCTGGCGTTTGCAAGTTAAGACTCCTAAAAACACCTTTGCTCATGTGCAAACAAGTGCGCGCACAACCGCGGATGATTCATTTTCCACTCAAGTTGAGTCTGTGTGCGATATACAGTATATCTGCGATAATATGGTAAGTGTTGTTGTAAGTAATTACCAAGTAAGTGTTGTTGTAAGTAATTACCAAGTAGGCTATATCACCAAATCACACAGAGTGCATGCACGTTGA